ACACAGACGATCGGGAGAGATTCGGGTGATTGTCAATTGCTGCTATGATGGCTTTGGTTGGTTGTTCTTTTTCACTGTACGGCCGCAGACACATTCTGACAGCACTTCAGACAGCAGCTTTGTGCCCCGCCAGCTGCTTGTTCCATGCCTGCCATGGTGTTTTTGTACAGACAGCACTTCAGACAGCAGTATGCTGTAGTCGGCAATCTTCCGTTTTGGTATAGAGTGGGACAGGGAGGGGGTGATGCTCCTGTAGTCGAACGGTGGGACGGACGTGCAGTTCAGTTTTCGGGCACGCATACGGTGCTGCAGGGATTTTTAGGTGTACCTCTTCGGGCTCTTGGATACCTTTCTCTCGTTTTATGTGTGCGTGTTCTGTAGATCCTCAGATGGCTCGAGCACTTTCGTGACTACGGGCTGAGAGTCTTTTGCTAGATTTTGGCATTTAGCAATTGACATACGGTTTAATGTGAAGCCAACAACAACAACGTTGGAAGAGATGCGCTGTAAAGCGCGTTGTTAGTAAACTTGATCGACTTCATTGGTCGCGAGGGAAGGGATCACCGTACCTTCTCGCGATAAAAATATCTCAGGCAGGAACCGCAGGAAGGGGCCCAACTCCCCTCATCCTGTGTGACCCCGGTTGGGTCGTCTAGCTGGTGGAAGTGGAGGATAGGGGCCAGAGGGGCAGACGACAGAGTCCAATGATGAAAAAAAAAAAAATGAAATGAAAGTGACCTGGAAAGGTTCATCCGCAGCAATTGACATGTTTTCCCAAGAAACAAAAGTTGCTCTTTCGACGCTGGTCAATCTAAAGAAAACATGAAGTCTTTCCACTGTGCGCAGGTAGAGAAATTGCGATGGCAGACGCGGACGCGCACATCGGCAACAGGAATCGAGTGTTGAATGTGCTGCATACATTCGTGTATCGAGCTCACCGAGGACATCGCCCGCCACAGAGCAACCAGCACAGCGAAGACATAGCGTGACAGATAGGTGCGACAAGCGTACATCAAAAACCCGACACAATGATCTCAATCAGGCCTGCCCGACTTGGTTTGTCTAGAAGACGGATAGGGTCTCTTGGAGGTCTCACAGAAAAGTAGAAATAAACGTGAATGATCACGTTCAGTCCGGAACCACGCACTTCTTTTAGACGAACGCCCGAGACGCGAGATACCCCATCGGCTATATCCTGCACTAATTTTGAAGCCCCCCGCAAGTTTTCAGCTTAATTGAATGGTGCCTTATGCGTTGACGGTTGGCTTTGTCGTTGACCGGCACTCTTAGGCACGAAACACGAGGATGCAGCAGGTGCTGCCGACACCAAATTGCTCCGATGTCGACCGATTTGTGCCCGAACGTTTCCAACCTGCAGCTGGATTGAAAAGTTCTTCGATGCTGGAATAGCTTTGTGCCTACCAATTTTGCCTGCCAAAGAGAGGTTTGGGCCACACCGCTGCAACCTCCCGACGAGGAACTATGCTCCCCGCAAGTTTTCAAATTGTTTTTCGCGCGCGCGCAACATGTTGCAGTTTATCCTGATCTCGACACGTATGCCTCGAGATAAAGTATACGCCGCGTTTCGAAGGAAACATTATTCTTCTTGTATACGGTACTGGGCTCTCTGTAGTGCGGATTGAATAGTGCCGGTGCCCGGTATAGTACCGGTAAAATCTCTGGACACAGAGAAAGCCCTCAAAAGTGCTGATTTGGCAGCACGGTGCCCCGCAATAGTGTCGGTTCACCTACACACACACACCTTGCAAGCGATTGTTGTCAAAATTTGGATCAGAATGATGGTAGCGAAAAACAAAGTGGATAATGGTGAAAGTACTCCTCACCGAACTCGAGTGCAGGGTAATTAAATTAGCCTTGGTAGACGCGTGCAGTTTCCTTCTGTTGCCAACGTTTCTGTCTTTGATCCGAAGGATGGTTTAGCCTCCCCCACGCTGCCCCCTCACGGGGTCCCAGTTCATGGGAGATGGAAGTATTTTGTTTTCACCCGCACTAGACTGCCGTATTTTCATTGGTCAGTCGGTTAGCGCGGTCGATGCTAATAATAAAGACACACCACACACACACACACACACCGCACATACAGACCGCAACACAACACAGAAACGAGGGTACACGCGCTGCTGCAGACCCAAAGAGCTCGACGCAGAGGCGCACCATGCCTTGTGCAGACGGTGAATGAATGAGCCCTGACATCAATAAGGCACAACGCCACAAACCCCTCACGGTCACGTCTGTCAGGGGGGCGGGCGGCTCCAAGGCAATTAATTGATGCAGCATGTTTTGAGGACTACCACAAAACACTAACCCGTTCGAGAAATAACCTCAGTCGAAAAGGATGTGTTGAAGTCTTTTGAGTGAGTGGATTGAAACCGATGGGAAACTGGGCTTACTCTGAGTTGGTGTAAGTCTATACATTGGGTTAGATCAGTTATTCGAGTTGGCGCTACGAACAAAAACAGCTGCAGAGGTGGATAAATACTTAACACATCCCCTGTTGTTCGCTACTGCGTCGACGACAGAACCATCGTCGAGAAGCTCTCCGTTATGTCGTGTGTTGTAGAATATGACCTTCACAAGGTACACGGCGCAGTGTCGTTTAACGACTTGCTATTTTTAGAAAGTACAATGTTGTTTAGATTTTTACATTGAATCTGGACTGTGTGTGTGTGTTTTCGTCCTATTTATTATGGCGACAGTCCCCCCATTTTTCGTAATGAGACCTGTACTACACTTTTCAGTGTGTTTTTTCGTACAACTACAACCATCCAGGGTCACACAGGAGGGGGTAAACACCAGAGCATATTNTGTGTGTTTTCGTCCTATTTATTATGGCGACAGTCCCCCCATTTTTCGTAATGAGACCTGTACTACACTTTTCAGTGTATGTAGAGCACTACACTTTTCAGTGTGTTTTTTCGTACAACTACAACCATCCAGGGTCACACAGGAGGGGGTAAACACCAGAGCATATTTTCTTTTTATTTCTTCTCATGCCCCACCTTCCTCCTGCGGTGCGTGCTGAATTTTATTTTCACCGCGAGAAGGGTCCAGCCGTCTGTTTCCCTCGTCAACGGTTCTAACGTCGAAGTTTGGCACTCACGAGAGCTTGTCAGCTATATTTCGCTGTCACCCCACCCCGCACATTTCGTAATTTTTTCACCCCATGGGGATAATACGAACTCACGACATCTGCGACTAGTAGGTTACGACGATACCACTAGACCACCGGGGCGACCGGTGTCTACACCTCGGAATTTGTTTGAATTTTTTCAATTTCAAAAGTTGGAAAGGATTTTTGAGCAGCTGGATGTATCCTGCGGTTTGTTTTGTTTGTTGCTGTCTGAGCAACCGAGGCTACCCGTGCAATAAGCACGGGCCGACAGCAGAGAGCAGTAAGTAAAACTTGAACCGATTGCGAGCAACCGCGTCCTGTGAGAACACACCTAGTAGTAGACCTTCAAACCGTCAGAAATTTATCTCGGTCTGCTTTTCCAAGGGCGTGAGTCATGCGGCCGTCAGCTTCCGACTGTGTGACGGTCGGCATGTATGTGCATGTATGTGATCTGTGTCGTGTGTGTGCAGCAAGCTGCATGATCTCCGCTCTGTCGATCTCTCAGCGAGCAGCTGGTATGATGCTTGGACCCACGCAACAACACAATCCGCTGTCTATTCCTATGTAGGACCACGTGGTGCACGACCTTATACCCATGGTGCGGGTCGAATCGGCTCGGCCTCTGCTGTTTTGTGAGGATGCTCGAGGTAAATTTATCCGTTCGAGGTGGTCGTTGTCTGTTCGCTACCCTGGCGAATGTTGCTTGCAAATTATTCCAACATGGCCAAATCTCGCGGCATATTTAGGAAAAGTTTGCTCCGGAGGAGGTTTGAATACCCCGACCTGGTCCTAATGAGCCAAATTTTGGTCTGCGCAAACACGTCAATAATCCGGAACTGAGTCAACGCCCGACGACGCATCTCACACGGAAGGCGAGAACCAAGCACTTTCGGGAATCAGATCGCAACGCCGCCAAAAACCAGTCTACCGCTCATGGAACATAACTCTGCGAGGCTTCATGATTTCGTTGTACAACAGATCGGGAGATCGAGAATTTTTTGTACTTGTTGTGCACTGGTACCATCATCACAAGGTGGTGATTGACGTCGTATGTACTCCGAGAAACAGCCACAATAGACACAACAGCAGCCTCAGGACCACCTTCTCCCCATCATCGTAAAATAATCCCAGCAGCAGCAGCAGCAGCAGCACACACTACTATCTATCTCTCTCTATGCTTTCGTGACGCCGCATCGTACCGGGTGGTCTTGAGCAATGCAAGTGGCATTTTCTATCCCCGTTCGTGACGTTATCTTACCAAGACACAAATGGCACTGTGAAAAAAAATCGATTGGGGAAGCAGCCGTGGCACACTACAATCTATTCAAAGGACGTCAGACCAGAAAGCTTTATGAGAGACTGCATTCCAACACTTGCCCGAAGCTGCATGGCTCCAGCAGGCTCAAGCGCGCGAGGAACCACTAACAAGCGCTAGAAACCTCATACCGGCGGGGAGATTGTTATGAGGTTCACACACGTAGCAATCCCTGAAGCACAAAGGGGGCGTGTGCCGCTCCTTGCTGAGAGGGGGGGGTGCTATGGCTGTATCCCCGGCTTGGCAACAATCAAAAGGAGTTGCAGTTCCTGCCAGATCTACACATCTTGCCTAAAACTATCGTTCATATCCTTGTACTTCAATCCCATCACAAGATGATGCACGCCAAAGGTTCTTGATCAATGGTACAAGATACGTTCAAAGCATGAGACGCGCACACATCGCAAGAGGCGACCGATGCCACACCTCTCCCCAAATGACATCTAGCCCCGTCCCACTTATGATTTTCCTTAAACCTCCACCTGACAGGGGAGAGATCTTGGCACGGCAATGATGAGATCGTGCAACGCCTGCCTGAAAGCGGAGAGATTTTGCTTTGCTTGCTCATCGTGAAAAGGTTGTTCAGGAAGCCCGCTTGTCGCCGTAGCTCTCCTCTTCAACGTCATACTTGGCAGCTTTCCTCCTCAGATGCAGTAGAAAACCAACACAGCTCTGCACGCCAGCCCCTTGACGTTTGATCCGATTTAGTTGCCTCCCCCGATCAAACAATCCTTTTTCATGGATCAATACATAGCTCTCAGTTCTGAAGCAATTGGGACGAGCCATATGCCGTTGACCCCCTAGAGCGCTTCACCACAGGGTGTGAGGGGCGGCTAGGCCCCTAAACCCCCATAGAGAGGGGTGCGCGACAAGCATATGCGGATAGGCTCGCGCAGCAGTTGAGACTTATTGAGCAGCGGGTGTTTGATAGATTGCCC